CAATTAATACATGCAGCGCTGTAAAGATTTTGTATCTAAATTATCTCTATAGAGTGATTGAAGTTCTAATGAAAGCTAGTTTGAATGAAGGGGGAAGACTTGCTATGGGGGAAGTCTGACTCTACATCTAGTAGTAGAGGTCTTCCTGCAGGGAAGTGTGGCTCTAGAGTAAAAACTTCCAGGGGGTTCTTTCGCTCTGGAGTCAGAACTCCCCCAGGGGGAAGTTTCACTCTAGAGCATGATTTCCAGGGGAAGTCTCACTCTAGAGCATGTCTTCCGGGGGTTAGTCGTCTCACTCTACAAAACCGGTAGTAAATGTTCAGGAAATTATTTTGCTTGAATGAGTTCATTCAGTCGATTTGCTCAGAATATGGAATTGAAAGGTAGAAGCCCTTCTTGACAGGAAAAATGTTAAAGCTCGTAGCTTAGAATGACTTGTTGGAAAACTTAATTTCTTAAGCATAGCAATTAGGGGTGGAAGATCGTTAACAGAAGGTTTTATTACGCAATGATGGGTATTTCATTTTCAGAGCATTTTTTCGCATAAACGGTGCCCTGAAACAGGATATGACAATGTGGCTAAGTTTTTAAAACAATTTTAATGGAAAATTCTGCGGGCGCATGTAGACTGGAATATGGATCTTATTTTGTCAGAGGAAATTGATGCAATATCAAATGTAGATCGAGAATATGATATACAAAGATTTTTAGAATTTGTGTTGCATTGTGTTCGTAGCATGATTGAATTCAACCTAGCGTGCTATTTTTCCCGTTTGGGAAAGCACAACATAACGTTAATGTTGGGGGTATGCCGCTTTACCAGTGTAAAGACAAATAATAACCCCCGTAGAATAATGACTGGAGGTCATTTTTCAACTACGAAAAATGACCTTTTGCCTATAGAAAAAGTGGCATCACCCTTAAAATCTGAATATCCTAAGTGAAGAAAAAAAAATCCCCGTAGAATAATGAGCCTGTCTAGATTTTGGTAGGGTTATACATTTATTTTTCATTTTGGTTAAAAAAGATCAATAATTATAAATCAAAAGGCCTGTGGACCGAAATGCTCATCTGAGGTATACGTAAAATGAGGATACATTACATGCTTCCATTAAATCTTTCGAATAAAATGATCTGTCCTATATGATAGATTGTTAACATGAATGGACTTCAATCTACATTGTGGAGATGCTTCCATTTTGATTTGACAAATGTAGCTTTTTTTAAAAAAGAAGATTTACAAATAAAATTCACATACATGTATTCCAGAGAGAGAGAGAGAGAGAGAGAGAGAGAGAGAGAGAGAGAGAGTTGTTTATAATGTCTATCTACAGGTTAATCAAATTGTGTTTAAGTGCATTTTTTTTCAAGTCAATGATTTTAACAGTATAGTACATGTAATTTTCGGACATATAGCAAAAGTATCTTACAATTTGAATAAGTATTATTTAGAAAACGAGACAGGTACTGTATTGTAGATACGAATTTGGGGGTGGACGAGTGCGTAGCAAGAGTCTCCACCCCCCAATTTTTTTTTTTATCTACGATACAGAAACTGTCGAGTTCTCTAAATGATTTGTGACACGATCAATCAAAAAAAAAAAAAAAAAAAGCACCGCCCACTTCATAGCTGTGCAACATCCAAACTTCCGCCGAGTTCCTTTGTTTTCTCCGTAGATGAGGCCTCGACGGGGAGTATACATCCGCAGTATATATATTTCCACGGACAACGTAAGATTTAGTCAGATTAGTTTTGACAACAGGGTAGACGTAACAGACTTGAAGTCAGTCTTAATTGATAAGGTGGACGATTTAACCTTGTTGAGATTGATCCTAATTTATTTCAGGGGTCTTAAAATCTCAGTTAAACTAGATACACATACAGGCGATACAGACAGTTTTTCGATGGACTTTGATTTACGGATTTTTATTTTCTGATTGAAATGCGACATAAAAAACGAAGTGAAAGAGATGTGCGGCAGTCGTCAGCGATAAGGATTTAAGATGAAATAAAAAAAAAAAAAACCAACCTGAAAAATGGACTTGATTGAGTTTGCGTGGAAGAGTGGAAAATGAAGGGAAGGGGAGTGCGAATTTCACGGAATGTATGCTGCATCAGCGAACCCATTGGCTTTACTATTTTGAAGGGGACACAAAAAGCAGGGAAAGCAAACAGGTTTCAGGAATTTATCCAACATAGGATGTTTTCCATAATTGCAAATTTTCCTTTTCGTTTGGGTCGAAATAAGGTGTAGATTCTGTGTGGAGTAATTTTTTAAAAGTGATTGAGAAATTTTGACATTTTACATTCCTAAGGAAATATTTCTTCAAAATTTATAATAGGAAAAAAAATCAGCATTTACTATTTGTACGTGCTTTTGATAAATTGAATCAGATTTATTTTTAGACCGTGCTGTATTTTAGATACAAAACAGTTGGCTAATACAAGACAGTATACAGGGCTAATACAGAACGGAAATGAGCTCCGCCCACTGTATTCCGTTCTGTATTGCTAATACAGAACAGCAAACTTCAAAGAAAAACACCGCAATCGTGTCACAAGAAGAATTTGGTGATGTTTTAGAGACTTTTTTTTTTTTTTTTTTTTTTAACATTTTCATTAATACCGAAAGAACAAACATTATTTAGCTATCCATTGTATATGGGAAACAAAACGGAGCTGCAAGCAATTTTATCTTAAACTGCAAGTAAAATGTCCATGAAACACCAGAAACCTAAAAGGAATGAAGTCAATAAAAAATTGATCATGAAGATATCCATATCGCGTCCCAAAGTGCAATTAATCCATATGTTTTATACATGTGCAATCTTCGATTTTCTGGATGTTCTCCTTTATTACAGGAATGAAAAATCTTGTATAAAGAAGAAACATCAAATCTGTTCCAACAAATATGTAATTCACTAAGTTGTCCAAGCAAATGCCTAGTTCTTCCGAAGAGTTCGGATCAAAAACAATTTAATCTACTTTCTTTTAAGTGAATTTACTTTGTCCGAAGAAAGAATTTATTTGTCCACACAAATATCTTGTTGGTCCGCACAAAAAACAAACTTGTCAGAACTATTATCTTAAATGTCAGAACATATATCAAATTCGTCCGAACAATTATAATATAAAATATAAACTCTGGGCTTCAATGGCACCATACTATTCTATTATATTCCGTATTTATAAAGGTTATGGCCTTCATGGATTTTTATAAATCTGTCATTAAGATTCAAAAATTGCAAAATATATAACTTTATAAAATTATAAAAAAAAATATATATGGTAACAAAGTCATTATAATGACCCAGGAATTTTCGAAATGCTGACTTCGATTGAGACGGTTGAAAGCCCTGTAATATAATCTTATTTATCAGTATCCTGCCTCTGTTTGAAAGTCGATCAAACTCAGGTCATGCTCTAGAGTACCGAATAAGTAAAGAAACTTAGACATCATATGCACGCGATAGTAGAAAATTACTACATAAATACATGTAACTACTATAGTTAGTTGGTCATAAGCGTATATAATCAGTAAAATATCCAAATATGAATAGGATGAAAAAAAAAGAATAGGATAACAGTTTTAACCAAAAGCCACCGTGTTAATACGTTGTATCTATTGTGCGATTTTTATTGTGTGTTGAAAACACACAGTAGGTGAATTATGAAGATAATGAACAGTAAACATGCTCGAAAGTCCATTGAAACATTACATGGGAGCAGAACAAACACGGACCTCCAAACATCAGAGGTGGGATAAGGTGCCATGGAGGAGTAAGCATCCCCTGACTACCAGTAAAACTTGCTCTGTGCTCCTTGTCATGATCGGGCAAATATAGACAATTCAGTGTGAAAATAATGGCCTTACAATTTGTATGAAAAACGTCAGTCAATATTTGACTTAACGATAGATTGTATTTGCTAAAAATGTAATTATTTTGACCAAGGAATTTGCAAAATGTTTACTTTAAACGAAATTCTTTTTATCTTTGTATCATCAACTTATAT